CGGCCCATGGTGCGCTATATGCGCGACCATGTTCCCGTGGCCAAAACTATCGCATAAACATGAATACCCTCCGAGCAACATAATATAACTGAACATGATATTGAATAAAAAAGGCTGATTTCATGATCAATGCTCGAGGGACACACACTTAATACATGAGCTCACTCATGACGCACATGCACGGCTAAAATACTTACAACCGCACCAAGAACAATTCATAATTCGAACTAATATACTCTTATCATGAATAACTCAAGGTAATCAAAACTACCTCCTGAATTTCCTGCTGAACCGCACCAGGTGTTCCCGGCGTTCGGTGCTTCGGGCGTGATACTTGCGTGCGGCGTGCGTGTGCCATAAACTATGCGGTGCGACGTGCGATACTCTCGGTGTTAGCGTGTGCTGCTGACTTCCGTACGGTACTCCTCACCTTCTCAAATAACACTTAACCTTCTATCACTCAAGCTCCCTCTCGGTGTTGTGTATACTTGGAAAAATGCAAGAAAATTTATCCCCAACACATCTAATATATACCCACCGAACAAGGCTTGATGAAGTGAAAATATATGGCTTAAGGACCAAATGACACTTGGAATGAGATTAGAGAATAATAAGATGACTAATCTCTTCATAACCTTAAATAAAGCCACGTATAAGTGCTTTAAAATGAAGAAATAACCTCTTTGATGGGAATAACATATCTTACGGTATTTGGAAATTAACTTCCCATATGGCACGGCTTTTACAAAGTTATTGGGAACAATCCATACGGTTTCTACATATAAAATCGTGATTAATTGTGAATTAATCACAAATTATGTTTAATTATTAAATTAAATATAATGCTTAACTTCTAAAATTATTCCGAACGTAAACGGTACGTCGAAAATAATTTCGGGTAATCCTGACCGAAAATAATTAATTCCGAAAATAATACTTGACAATATTATTATATCGGAATTAAACACATGATTAACGTGACGGGATATCGCTGACTGAAGAATTAATTCTGGACTCATTTATTAATTAAACGAATCGGAATTAAATCTGGAAACTTATTCGGTTACTAAAATAAGTAAACCGAATAACTTATCGACTAATAGTCGAACATAGAATATAACTGACTGATTAATCTGAATTTGAACATGAACATGATTATTTATTGATAAAGGCTAGCTTAAAACTAAAAGCTAGTATTTTCCTTTATTAATAAAATACGGGGCGTTACAACGCTCACGTATAATTCGTCATTATATAACTTTGCTTTGTGACGATGCGATATAATACATCTGAATTTTTCATATTAGTACATTGTGGCGAAAGTCACTATGATGAAAATAAATCGTTGTGTCTTCATTGTGTTTAGTATGACGCTTACGAAAAATTTTCATTATATAATTTGTTTTGTGATATAAATTATAATATATCTAAATTCGTCACATTAATATGTATTGTGATGAAAAAATTGTTGTTTTTGTATTTAAAATGATGCTCACGTATAATACATAAATTCGTGACATCAATATATAACTTTTTTTTTTTGTGACGATGCATTATAATACATTTAAATCTAAATTCGTCACATTAATACATATTATGAGGAAAGTCACTATGAAGAAAACAAATCGTTGTGTTTTTATTGTCTTTAATATAACGGTTAAGAACAATTCATCATTATATAGTTTGTTTTGTGATGATAATTATATTATATCTAAATTTGTCATATTAATACATATTGTAATTTTTTATTTAAAATGACCGGAGGCCGCCTACGTGTAAAATCATTTTTTTGTTGAGGTGGAAGTAAGGCAACAACAACTTGCTTACATGTAATACATATTATGACGAATGTGGCAAATTATAAAAAAATAACTATACTAAGGATTGAACCTTTCGCCTCTTGTGAAAATTTACATCCATTACACACTTGATCTACAAGATCACATGTTAAAAACTTGACTTAAAATTTATATCTACCAATAATTCAACATCTTTTTATTTAATATATATTTCATATATTGTTTAATTTATTTATTTATTTATATTACTAATATATTTATTTATTTAAATATGTTAATAATAATAATAAAAGTTTAATAAAAGAAACTGAATACATTTATTAAGTGAATTTAAATAATAATTAAAATAAATTATGTAAATATATTTTAAACAAATAACATAATCTAAAACGAAATAGTACGAAAAATTTAATACATATTATTTATTTTATTTAATTTACTATTTTTGCTATCGTAATCAATACATATTTAATAAATAATCTATGTAAAAGTTTTATAATCCAAAGTGATTTAATAATTCATTTTATGCCACTTTTAATTTTAAAAATTATACATTATTTATCAATTAATTATGAATTAATTGTGAAATATAAAACATCAAATTACATAAATAAGAAAATAATAATACATTATTATTAAATTTTGTTTTAAATATACATTTAATATAATTTTTATTTAAATATATAATATATATGTAATATTAAAATAATGTTAAATTAAAATTATGTAAGGTAAATTAGTATAAAAAACAATATAAATGAAAATAAAAGTTATATAAAATAAGTTAATAATAATAATATAATTAAATTATGTAAAAGTTTTGTAATTTAATGTGGTATTATATAATAACTCAATTTATACACTTTTAATTATGAAAACTCCTTTATTTATTAAATATGAATAAATTAAAAAAAATAAGTAAATTAAATAAATAATTTAAAAATGTATTGATTCTGAACTAAGTTATGTATCGGTTTGACACAACTTGGTTAGTCCCATGTGACTAAGTTATGTATCAGATTGACCAGATCAAATCGATTATTGAACCTAAACATAAATTTTAATTTGTAAAATACTTTATTGCGTGAATATGATGCAGTCCAAACCTCAAATAATCGTATTAACAATATGTTTAATAATTTATAATTTATAAATTAATATTTTATTATAAGTTTTATGACAACATGTTTAATAAATTATAAATATTTTACATCATAATATTTATGTGAATAAAATAATATTTTATTATAAGTTTTATTAATGTATAGTAAATATAATGTTTTCATAACTGAACCGTCATCGAAACGATCAAGTTATTTTATTAAACCATGTGTGTTTTGTTCAGATGTTAATTTATAAACATTTAATATATATATATATATATAGAGTATTTTTTTGAAATGAATTTAAATAAAATGTGTTACTACAAATATTATTTAAATATGTAATTTTATTTAAAATAATTTCAAATGTTGCAAAATTTATTCAGAAAATCGTATCGATGCTACCAGTCCAACGGACTGGTGTTGACGGATTCGATAGCAAATATTTTATTCAAACAAACTCGACTGGTTATAAACTGATTCTCGGTCCATTCGATCGGACTGTGTACAACCCAGTTTAATTTAAAAGCAATTGGTAAATCATGATTAAATGTATTTATATATTTAATTTATAATACAATCGTAATATTATTTTTCCTACATTGCACGAGCCACGCACTAGTTATATTGTATTGATAATATTAAAACTAATAAAATTGA